TAATGTTGGGGAGACAGCAGGGAGGAGTAGAAGTCACCTTAATGAAAAAGTATAATACAAACCCTATTGATTTATAAGGTATAGCATGTCAGTTTTACATGAATAATAATATCAGTTTAATGAGCAAAATTTAGTAGGGTGAGTCTTAAAGATTACAAAGAGCAATAATATTAGGATCTCCAAGACTTCCTAGAGCAAATGACCCTATCTACCTAGGAATTAAGCCTGTTCTTCATCTCTGCATTTGGGTTGTATCTGCCAGATCACATGCCTCTGTCTTTCATAAGAATTAGCCTTCATCTGTCTGTACCAATCCTGGTGATTGTATTCCTCTTGCCACAAGATTGGTTTAGCACAGACACATGAAGATAGCTGGCCAATAGAATAGAAGGAAAAGTATTCCAGAGGACTTCTTGGAAAATCTGTCTTGATTTTAAAAAAGGACACAGTACATTATATGCAAAACCAATGCTCAGAGCTGCTGTAGTCCTCTTGCATCTATGAGGTGACAAATTTCAAGACCAAAGCCATCACACTGAATATGGCAGATAATCTAACCTCAAACCCCCTGTGTAAGTTGAGGTTGGATCAGCAAAACAGAACCAAAAAGAAAGACATAGAATAAGAATTTATTCTAGGGATTAAACCTTATACAATTATAGGAGTTGGTGAAGGGGTCTATGCAGGTCTACCCCTCTGCATCTGGTGTTGGGCCTGAAGTCACTATTGGTCAGTGGAACTAGTAGTCATGGAAAAGAGGCAGACATGAAGTGAGGAGACTGAGGATGGTATTCCTAAGAACAAACTGGAATCCATGTACATAAAGTGGAACCCATGTCTATCTCCAGGGTCAATACTGTGGGTGACCTGGAAGAAGAGCTGTGAGTCCAGGGAACGGTCACTAAACTGCCAGCTCACATTTTTGGTCTGGGGTAATTCATGTAAGCTGTCACAGTGCCTGGGGCTGTATAATGACGACCTCTTAAGAATTAAAAAAAAAAAAGTCTATTTCTTCACTTTTGCCTTCCGAATATGTTAAAATTTCTCTTGTGACCAACTCCAACCCAGAACCAGAAAGAGAAGGAAATTCCAGGAAATGGATCTCTGCCTTAGCTAAATTGGCATAGTACAAAGTCACCTATCATGAAACATCTGGTGTGAAGAAGTTGCCACAATGTTTGAAGTCTATGTAGCAGCATGGCCCCTATGTTTATGTCAATTCAAAGAATTCTACCCACAAAGTGTCAGTGACTATGTCAGTATTACAGAGCTAAGAAAAAATTTTATTTGCTCATCAACTCCCACCAACACTGGCTAAAAACACAGAATCATAGATGTGAGAAGCAAATGACCAAAGTTCACTGTTTTGGGTAATAACCATTTACCAACACACGAATGAGTACTACCCATTAAGAGGCAATGTAAACAAAAGAACAAGTATTAACTCAGTTCTCAACATCAGCGTTTAAAAGATTCTTGAATCCCTTTAATCTTTTATGTGAGATGTTAGAAGGTAGTTTACTTGCATTTAAGGATCAAATCATTCTCATTAAAGTTGGAAGGAAGAGTGCTGGTAGTACAGTGGTTAAAACACTCAGTTGTTAATCAAAAGGTCACTGGTTCAATCCTACCAGCTGCTCCACTGGAGAAAGATGTTGCAGTCTACTCCTATAAAGATTTACAGCCTTGGAAATGCTATGGGGGAAGGTTTCTATAGAATCACTATGAGTTGGAATGGAGTTAGCAGTAGGTTTTAGTGGGTAATCTTTGAAGCAACAATACTTCTTGTAATTATTCCATTTTTCTAATCACCTCATTTAAACTGCTTCTCACACCATATAAGCACATTATTTTTAAATGTTTGTTTCAAATGCAACTTAAGCTTTTCCCATCACAAAACGAGTACCCCTTTATACTTCTCCAACCTTTGTCACTCATAAACAGGGATTGCTTATTCTTCATGGACCTGAAAAACAGAATCAGTGTGTTCTGTGAAATCCCTGTGACTTTCATCAGGAGAACACATGTCCAGAACAAACCTGAGTACTTTTCTGAGGTAAGCAGGTCTTAGCCAACTCTTCATTAGCTTCAAAGGGAAGGTAGGGAATTGAGGCAATTATCTGCATTACAGAAAGCAGACACTGGTAATTCACCCCAAGGGCACGCTCCATCACTCTCTCAATTTTCTGCCTGCCTTGTCTTGCCAGTGAAGGCAGCACCCTTTTCAGCAGACCCCAGGAGGTAAAAGACTCTGCAGCCACATCACCAATTTTCTCCACAGTCCTAACACACACTTCTCTCAGAAAACCTTTTCCTTGTGTTTATGAAAGTGGATGGATTTTCAGACTTTTCTTCTGTGAATGGGAAACAATTAGACATTGCCATGCCAAGGAGGTTGCTTCTATTCATCTCTGGCCTCTCAGAAGCAATTTTGGCTTCACTGATTTTATTCTTTGTTGGAAATAACAGTGACAAAGTCAAAGGCATTACATCTGTTTGGGAGTCCCTCTGACCCGCAATGAGTGCAATTGCAGCATATGTGAGCAAGGTCAACAATAACAAAGTGCAACGCACTGCCATTGGGTCAAATCTGACTCATAGCGACCCTCCTTGGTTCTCCAAGGCAGTATCTCTACAGAAGGAGATTGCTCAACTTTCCTTCTGAGGAGTGGCTGGTGGGTTTGAACTGTCAGCCCTCTGGTTAGCAGTCAAATGCTTTAGGCACTACGCCACCAGAGCAGTGTCAGATTACCCAATAAGCAAGGTAAGCACAGGCTTACTTGTGTTTAGTAATCTGTAGTGAATAATTTCACATTTTTCCATTACATCAAAGATTCTGCTGCTATATGGCTGGCACCTATCTCTTTCCCAGCCCCACAGTACTTTCTTACGGAATCCAAGCCTCTTTTCAAACTTACAGTCCCTGACAGGGACAGAATACCCAGTAAGCAAGGTAAGCATAGGCTTACTTACTAATCTGTAGTTCTGTCCACTACAGATTAGTAAGTAAGCCTAAGTAAGCCTGTGCTTACCTTGCTTATTGGATAATCATCCCCTGAATGTGAGGCATTTCCTTAAACAAATCCATTAAATGGAGTTGCTGGGCAGGCTTTGCCCAGAAGACCTTAAAGTCAGAGCCATAACAATTCTCAAATTGAGGCCAGAGTTCAAGCCATTTCACTGGACCCGTCCATTTGGAGCTTATCCAGGTGACAGCTACTCAAGTATCACAGGAAACTTCTGCCAATAGCTCACACTTCTCATATTTAGATCTATATATATTCAATATAACTGTTGTTGTTGTTATGTGCCATGGAGTCAGACCCAACTCATAGCTATCCCTGCTTGGGTTTCCGAGGCGGTATCACTACAGAAGTAGATTGCCCAACCTTCCTTCTGAGGAGTGGCTGGTGGGTTTGAACCACCAGCCTTCTGGTTA